ATCAGGCACCAGGGGCCCCCAGTTAATCAGAACGGAGGACACGACTGGTGTTTGCGTTGGTATGTTTTTGTGTTGAGTTCAGCAAGGGGACGGAGCGGTGACGTTTGAGTGGCGGTACTGTGGAAGACGCCTTTGCAGCATCTTAACCAGCCCCATCCCTGTTCATACTCATAATAAGACACCAGCATGTTATGTGTATATGACCTGTTATTCTTTGTGGTTCGTGGACAGTAGTGACCTGTGAAGGCTCCGGAACCCTGAGCTGAGATTTATTTCTGTCACAGCTTATTTATTTACACCACTTTATTATAACTAACGAATTCTGGAGTTCTTCATACCAGCCTAAAGATTTAACACGACACAGCCGGTTGTATTTCTATGGTTTGATCTCTTTAGTGATACACAGTGATTCATTTATACATGTGATGCTTTTGTGTTCTAATCCGTTCTGAACATACTTTCTCCTGTGGAACAAGCTTTATTGTGGCGCACTTTCTAAAGAAATGCTTAGTTTCTAGTAAATCCTTTTAAATTTTAAATTATTTTCATAATATTTTTTAGGTTCAGTTAGGGTTAGGGTGTTTTTCAATGAAAGTTCTTAATGTGTATTTTCCAGTTGCAGTAATCTCCAGGTTTCAGGCGGGTTAACTCGGCCAAACCAAGTAATTCCCTCATTTTCTATGCGTTCCAGGATCCAGCAACATGTGCAGCGTGAATTCAGTTCCCCCCCGAGGCGGTTTTTGGCCTCTGCTGCGAAAATGGCATACCCATGATAAAAAGTGTAATAACTCTGGAACTACTTTATCTGGACAATTTGTTTTCTGTAGGATAAAAGGGGAAACTGAGTGCTATGATGTTTACAAATCTGTTCATATGGTTTCAGGTGAAGAAATATATATTTATTGCACTCAAATCGAATTTTGAGATTCGGATAGTTTTGGTTTCGTCCAATATCGGGAACGTAGGGTGGAATAGGTTTTAACATAAACTTCAGCCTTCCTAGCAAACCACGTGGCAGGTTTAGGGAAAGGCTGCGAACTGGGTGGAAAAAACTACTGTTGTTGGTTTCACACGCAACATAAACCGCCGTCTCCTGGGTGAAAGTCCAGTGTCTTCACAACCGTCCATGTTTGTCTTGTGGAGACTGTTGGTCTTTATACTTTGAAACTTATTTCATCTGTTTAAAAAAAATGTTCATTGTGTTTGAATACAGGTTTCTAATACTTTGTTTCTAAAAACCCACAAAATAAACTAACGAGACAACCTGGTCAGTTTATTTGTTAAATAGTAGGATCATGTGATCAGTGAACTGATCCGATGTCACGTCATATTTTAGAGACGGAACTGACTAACATGTCAAATGTTATCTGGAACTAAACATACACGTGTCTCTAGAAGAGAGAACACACCTCAACTCACCTCGTGATTTAGTTCTTCACACAGATTCCGCGGGCCCAAAGAAAAGTTTTTCCACAGTTCTTTCCTACATTTCAAAACTTGCTGCTCACAGGGCAAAAAAAGTGTTGAGGGATGACGCTCTCATACAAAGTGAGTCGCTGACAGCTCCGGAGACCCGGGGGACCAATTCATTTGCCGAGTGATACGTCCCGATCGGTCCCTCAGATGTCCCAGGCGCCCGAGCACTTTAAAGAGTCTCAGGACACCGAACGTTCGGTGAATCTGTGCTCTGGAGCGCAGAGCCACTGCCGGGTAGGATTTTTCATTACCATGAATCAGACATCCACTGGTTAATCTGCACCCATGCCTCCCGAGATAGACCGCCATAGGCCGCTGGCTGGCTTTACGCGGGTGTCTATTGAAGAAACACGCATGCGGCTTTATCGAGGAATATGAAGTCATCTGGTGTGAGGCAACGGCATGCAGACGTTGTGTCACCCCTGCGCTGTGAAATCATAATTGGATCCTCTGTTTCCTTTTGCTTTTGTGACGTTGGCCTCGCAGCGTTTTTTTGTGGCATCATGGGATCACATTTATATGGGAGGGGAGTCAATTTTTCCTCTTAACTTAATGCAGCGATTCCTTTCCAGTGTGAGACCTTCGAGGCAATTCTGACGTTCATTTGCGGCGCGTATTATTTATAACTCAGATTTGGGCAAACCGCTGAAGGAGCGCTGTGCCTGGGAAAGAAAAAGAGGCTCTTGCACGTCATTGGAGCTCTTTAAAGTCCACCTTGTGCATTAAGTCATTGACCCTCCTTCTCCTCTATTCATCACCGAGCAAATGGCGACGCCCGTAGAGAGACGCTCGCCACTATTACCCGCTGTGAATTCCATTAGAGGTGTAGACACACAATAGCGTTTCCTTAAGCCTTTGACATTGCCATTGTAATGGACTCGGGGTCATGAAGCGATGTGTAAGGTACGAAGCATAAAAGGCAGGTTAAATATGATACTGTAGGTCACTTCATGGCTTTCACGTGCGAGGCTAATCCTTCCACCTCTATCCCAAGTGCTGCTCCGGGGTTCTTTTCCCGGATACATCATTGGTAAATGAATCATGTGACCCCCGACGCACACAGCGCGTGTGTTGGTGCCCTTCATGTTAGATTAATAATCTTTCATATACAGTATAGCCACAGCGCACCTGGGGGCAGATTAAGATTTGAGTAATTCTTGCTGATTTGCGAGCACATAAGAAGTAACCACGGCGATGTGCTCCACGCCAGCCTAACGGCCTTCATGGTTTGACCCTGGAGCCTTTCTGTTCAATCCAGTCATTCCGAACATAAAGCGATGGGTTTTTAGTTATTGTTATTCCATCTTCCTATGTATGTATGTATGTATGTATTTAAACTCCACAGATTATGAAGGAAAGAAAGTAGTTGCACCCAGAGGTGCTTTTACAACCTGCAACAGTGACACCAATGTTCTGGGGGCAGCCTGCCTGTGACCAAGATTCAGTATTTACGGTTTGGGGAATTTCTTCGGGGTGTCGATGGGAGACGTGGAGACATGTCTGTCAGCCATTTCTACTCGCTGGCATCATTGTAGACTGGACCGCCCTTCATAGCATTGCCTGTTTGGGGAAGCAAAGGGCTTCCACAGTAGCGTGAACTAAGAAAATGTTAAATGCCATATCAATTTAGCCGATAGAATCAGAATTAAGTCAGACTAAAAAGAACATATTTGTCTCTGACCAGTTAATTATTATTATACATACAAATGTAATGTGTATTTATCACAATTTGCGGCTGTTTCATAATATCTATTTCACATAATTAGTTTTACACGTACAGCATGCACTTGTTTATTTCCCAGGTCCTGCTGTTTTGGCGTCATAGTTGATTGTCTCCTCTGACAACTCTGCACAGGTCTGACAGTTGTTACCTTGAGGAATGGTGGATGTTGCTCAAGGGATACTCGCAGCCTTGCAGGACTCTATTACAAATATGATATTTTGCTATGAGCACCACATTCCCATCATCTTATGCAGAAACGACTAAATGAGCATTTCCTCAAGACATGATACATGCAATCCTTCCAGTCCACCCACACAGTCTCCTCACCTCCCTCATTAAGTAGAACTGAGTGTTGATGGGTGTCAAGCCCGTGGCCTGGCCTGCAGGCAAGACCAAGCCGGGCTGCACACAGCACTGTGCACGAGGACTGGAATGACGTTGGCAACACTGAGGAAAAAACAAGTCAAAGCTTGATTTGTAACCGTTGGGTTCTACTCTTCAATATTTTGTGCATTTCCAGTTGTGGAAAGTCCTCTTCACTATGGATTAATAATTAAAGCATATTGTTGCTGGTGGCCAGCACATTTGCCTCATTACAAGATGGGGCTCTATTCCTGAGCCAGAAGCTTTGTGCACGTGGGCGCCGGCGTCAGTTCTCCAGCTTCCTCCCACCCTCCAATGACATGCAACTTAAGCTAATAACTATAAACTGTGTGAACATGTCCCTGCGATTGGTCTGGTGACCCGTCCCGGGTTTTCCCTGCTTCCCTACCGGGCCCTGAAAAGGATGAGCGAGATGATGAGTGGATGCATGTTACAGCAAACCAGAGCTGTCGGACGGGCTGCGCTGGCTTTTCTCTCTCAGTTGTTGAGTAAATGTTAGTTCCGATGCTCAAAGCTAGACAACACTCCCAGTCACATCCTCACTGCCACTGATGTGGGGCCTGTAGTCAAAAATAACCGGAGTAAATAAATAAATAGGGCTTTTAGTTGTGTGTACATCTCCATGAATAATTTAAGATTTTGTGAAATACACTTTTGTTCTGAGACGGATCTGATTATATTAATGTCTCAACGCCTGTTCCGGGTTTAGCATAAAGACTCTGGGCGGAGGGAAACCTAGTCTTGCTTCAGGTCTTCATGCCATTTGGTGATTTGTCAGTCTTATGAAAGAGCAAAACCCAAGAATATGTGGTGAAGAATCCTTGTTTAAAAAAAGTGCAAACTTTAATGCCTAATCCATAGTTTACTATGTGTGTGCTGAGAAATTCTCAAGAAGTAAATCCTTGTACGTGTGCAACTAAACAGTTACGTGCGGTAAGTTATGAGTGCTAAAGAAGATTATTGCTCAGTGGGTGGTACTGTGTGCTGTCCATACACGGATTATTAACTCCTGCTAATACTAAACCAAATTGTGAGCAGTCTAGAGGCTCCACTGTGCATCTCCAAGTGGCTTTGTCATGTTTTTAGGTAATTGTGTTGTTGCAGAATTAAGTTCTGTGAGTGTCTCCCCCGGCGATGCTAACGGCATGTGGCAGAGCTGATGTCATTGTAGCCAAAGACCTTCAAAATACCAACCAGAGGGTCCATTATCAGCACTCAAGGTCGCATGTGAAAGCTGTCACTCAGTGACCTTGGTGGTGCAGGGAACCCCCTCAGTGACTCTCCACACCCCCCACCCTCCACCATCAGACGGGATTACAGAGCCCGAGTCCACTCTGAAGCCATCAAGCATCTTGTGTTTTCATTCATGGGGAACGAGGACATTTCAGCCGGTTTACAAAAGCAGTCCGTCACACCGTTACCAGGGTTGTAAAAAACCGTAAAGCAATTTTAATGACATCGAAAAAACAAAACACCAATTGACATTCTTTACATGCAATGGCTGAATTTTTACAAAACATTGCAACGGGTTGGTGGTGCGGATGTTACTGCTGAGCGTGTTTTTCCAATGGCAGAATACTGGAAGTAACAAAGTGAGGCTTGTTAGGATTGATGTAAAGGTGACTACAGTCTAGTTCCACTCAGCAAAGGACCACATTACAGGAATCTATGTAGTTAAAGATGTTCTGAGCTTTCTTCATGAAGAAGTACTCCTCCAATTCACAGATGGAAATCAGTGTATTAATCCCATGAAAGGTGAAGGATCTAGTATTTTGTTGAGCCTGACCTAAACTAGTGGACGCTTCCACTTTGACCCTTTTTAAAATAGTGTACAGAACTGCTTTCAGGGAATAGTTTAATATTATCATGCTTTTTCATTAGCTAACCAGCTGCAAGCCGCAACTTTAACGTAAAAAATCGTATGTGCAAATTTCCCAAAACTACTACAGTAAGAGGCCACTTCTTGGACAAAAAAATGTTTCCAGAGCAACTTCATTTGAATATACCAGCTATCGGTTAACAGCTGCAATATGAAATAGTCTGCCTACAAACTGGAGTCAACCGTAATGATTCTTTCAATACAAATTCGGATATAAAAGTGTTTTGGATTACGCAACAATTTCTGAATTTAATATATCATTCGTATCGGGTATGGCAACCTCTGTATGGGGCTGTTGATCACAAACACGGGCCGAGGCCTGTCGTCATATAATCTGTCCACTTGATGCTAAACGAACTAGACACATAAAAGCTACATTTCATTTTTCGCCTAATGTCACACGGAGATTGATGACTCGCTGTTTGTGATATGCAAATTCCCTTATTATTCAGTCAGGTACAAAACCAATGGATAGAATAAGTTAATACGCTTCCTTGTATATACATCTTCCATCATATTTAATGAATCAATTTCAAATATAAAAGGTCAGTAATAGTCAGCTGCAATTGAAAAACTCGACTTGATATTCCTGCATATAACGATGTGCAGCGGAGAGTGACGTGTTTCTAACACTTGTACGAGCAGCTGATGTAATGGAGATATTTTTAAAGAAAAGAAAATCCAAGCCCTCTACATTTTTTGCGTACTAATTATAAAAAGACACTCCACACATACAATATACACTATATATACACACACAGTATTTAGTAACGGTCATCCTGTTGCAACTCGACAAAACAGCTGTATAAAATGAAGGTGGCAGTGTGCGGTCGGCAGTGACTCATTACATTTGACACCAAGCCCCTGTGTTCCGTATGGATCATGTCTGTTTTCCACTTTTCACCGGTGGTGGCCCCGCCCCCACCCCTCCCCCCCGGCGGGTTTGATGAAACGTTGCCCGGGAGACGACAGATGATGGATGAACGCCGGCCGGCGCTCCTCACGCCGGCGCCTGAACGCCGGCCTTGATCTCGGCGGACGCCCTCTTCTCCTTCCGCCCGGCGTACTCCCCGATGAAGGACCCGTCCTCGTTGAACTGGACGTCCTCGTCGCCGTAGTCCACCAGGCTGTCCCCGCTGTCCCCGGCCTTGATCTCCCTGCTCAGCGAGCGCTGGCTGCCCTTCAGTGGCTTCTCGTCGTTGTCACTGCGAGAGAAGGCGCAGTGTGTTTAGAATGGCCTTATTGCACCCAATGCTTCGCTCTGGTTTATTGGGGGGGGGCACATGCGTCAACTGCCTCTACGACTGACGTTGGTATCTCTGGCTGACCGACGGGACACAATCGCACAGACCTGCATGTTGCGACACGGCGCGCACACTAGTGCCTTGGCGAGGTGATGAACGCCAATGAGACATTGAGGGGGGGGGGGGGCATCAAGCCGCAGTGGAACGATCTTTGCTTGTGACGCATGTTAGCGGCCAGCCTGCTTCACGCGCCTTTGTGCGATTAGGTTCAGATACGGTCAATTACCACTACAGCCTTTGACATGAACTTCACTTGAGTGTGGCGAACGCGTGTTGGACCGTCGAATACAAGCGGGTTCGATCACAAGTATTTGCCAGGTGGAAATTTAGGCGCGTGTTGGCGCTCAATCCAACTTATTAATGTATCATGAGGACCCCTGAGGAAATTCCATGTGCTCGTTAATATCCTCTGCTCTTGTGTTTCACTCTCACAGTAAATTAATTGATGTTCACTTTGTCCACGTGCTGCTCGGTCAGAAGGTTCCCAATCAGAGGGACCGGACTTCTATTAGTGCTGTGAGAACACCGAGGAACCTGGTCAAACTTATTCCTCCTTACGACCCCGACAGTCTAGTTTCAGACTGCGTAGCCTTCATGTTGCTCCATAAATAAAGCATCGAGGCAAGACTCGTTTTGCATAACGTGATATGTTGATGCCTTTTGGTTCTCGGGGCTTAAGCAAAAAAAATAAAACCAAGAATTGTAAAATAATACAAGGTTTTAAGTATTCAAGACGAATACAAAATGAAAAGCCTGCCCCCGCTGTGTAAAGACCTTCGGGCAGGAAGTATCGAGCCACCTTCCCCAGCAAGCTACAGACTTGATTGATACAATTCAAAAGGCTCACATTCCAAACTGGCCAACAGTTGAGCTGCTGAGCCGCTTTTGACTTCACCCCCATCGTTGGTTGTGGGGTGCAGATCCCGCCGATTGGCGGACACAGAGACCCGGGCCCGTCGCTGCCTTCAATTACCCCGATTGCTTTCAATGCCCCGCCCAGACAGATAAACATGGCCGCCGCCGCGGCGCCTATCACAAACAACACCACGAGAGCCCCTCTAAAGGGATGCTACCACTCGGACCACAGCCATGTGTAAACAGCTCGGGGGTTCTACCGCTGTTTAGCACATTCTTTTTTTATTTACGCGGGACGTCAAATGCCTGGAGGGGAAGAAGCAGCGCGCGGCTCCGCCTGCGCCTCCCGCATGCTGGGTTGCCTTTTTATTCGGCGGCAGAGAGAGAGAGAGAGACGGGCGGTGAGAGGAGGGCGGCAGAGGAGCGCGCTGTTGCAAGTGAATTGCAGTGAGGTGGTGAAATAGCGCGCCGCTTACCTGTATTCACAAAAGGTGTCGTCATTCATGCCCTGGGACTCCACGTCTGGGTGGAGGTCTTCTTTTTCTTTCACTGCGCAAATGAAAAGGAAGAAATCAGCGTTTTTTCCCCCCCGAGAGGCGGCGGCCGGTGAGGTTTCGAGTCTCGGGCCCCCGATTCCCTGCACTTATTGGCTAAATGAAAGAGCACTTGGAAAAAAGGCATTTCAGTCCATTGCAAAATATTCCTCCCACCTAATCTCTATACTTCTAAATGTGATTCAACTGATTCCTTCTGGTGTAAATGTACAGTTTGCATGTGATGTAACGGGGGGGAACAAACAAAGCACAGGGCTGACAACCTGAAGGCCATTAGCTGTGAGTGACGAATAACATTGAGAAACCTCAGCTTATGTCATCACTCCCTGCTCGCGCCCCCCGTGTGCAGCATTTGCATTTAGTCTCGCTGTGGGATTTGTTTAGATTGCTGCAAGGACAACAACAACAACAACGACAAAAGAGCTGCGTGTCCCGATGATGCCAAATTCATTCAAATCCTAGACAGAGAGCAGAGAAGCTTATTTTCCTATCCGTACTCAAACTTATTTTAGGCGTGACTTTCCATAAAAAAAAAAACTAATTTTGTGGCTGGAAGCAAACCCCCCCAAATGCTTCCTGTAATGGCTGCCAGTGTGATTGATCATTGTGCTCGTAGCGTCAAACAGATGAATAGAACTATAATGATGCTCCCAGCAGCTTTTACTATTAAAGCAAGGTGATGTGTGTGTGTGTGTGTGTGTGTGTGTGTGTGTGTCGAGCACCTACCGGAATACTTCCCTCCTTTATTTCTGTTGACGAAGCAGGCGATCAGCACAATGAGAGTGAGCAGGGCGACGGCGCACATCAGGCCGATGAACCAGCCGCGGGTGGATATTCCTCCGTGGACGCTGGCCAGACCTGAGAGGGAGGACAGACGCCGGTGACTTTGACGCGCCGTGGCCTTTTCAACGGGACACTTGATTGAATGTTTGCGTCTCAGCGCGGCGGGGCCGCTGATTGGAAACGGCCCAATATTAATATTAAACAGCTAATCCCGCTTGTCTAATTAATCAAGTAAAGGGACGCTGTACAAATGTAATTCCGCTCGTCTGGGTCCGCGCGGCTGAATTAAACCCAAGTGACAACGGCGAGGGCCGAGTCAGCGCTCAAGGACGCGCCCGGCTAAGCCACGGGAGGTCATTCAGGTTAGCTCGCGTCTCTTTATCCCTTTCCCTTTTCGATCCCCCTGCTCACCTGTCAACGCGGTCGTGATAACCTCTTCAAATATGCTAGAATTATCAAGCCAGCTGTTGGGAATAAGGCGCACAGTGTACTCGGTGCCGGGGTCGAGCCCGTCGATGACGTGGAAGGTCTTAGAGGTGTTTAAGGCCTCTGATATCTTCCACACCCCCTCACCTGTGCACAGGGCGAACGGTCAGGAATGGGTTAGTTCTTCGCAATGGGTGGAGGAGACATGGGGGACGATTACAGGCACCACAAGCTGCCGCTAAAACCCACTGGTCACAAACTACCAGGAAGCTACCGGAGACCCGGTGAAGAGTAATGTGAGCTTACGGTTGTTCATGTGCGCGATATAAAACTGGGTGTGTTCTCCTGCGGACGTCCAGCTGATATTTGCAGAGCTGTCGCTAACAGCTGAGCTAAAGCTCAACAGGGACGAGGCTGGAGATGCAGTGAGAGAGGAGAGAGATGGAAAAGGAGGCGTTAGTGAAGGACACAGCTTATGGGGGGGGGGGTGAAGGTGTCGTGATGAGTCGACCAGCGTAAGGAGAGGGACATGGAATCACTCGACAGCAAACTGCAGGATTTGGGAGATTTGGCAGCCAAAAGCTTCATAGTTCAACTTATAAACTCTATACTTGTATAACAGCTGATAGATGAGAGATTTGACATTTATTAGGCACATCTGCAGATGGTCGTGCTCCCACATACCTACGACAATAGAAGTAAAGTAAGGACGCACATGAAAGGGTCGCTAGTATATTTCATCTCTTCTAAGGAGAAGAAAGAATACGAGATCCGCTCTCAAATTACACCAAAACCCCCTTATTAGTTTTATCTTTTTCCATCACTGAAATAGGCCCCGAGGTTATGCATGTACTTAAGTCTCATTTTGGTCAATTCAGAAAGCCACATTTGTTAAATAGTTGGGAAATAAGGAACAATTCAACATGACAATCAGCAGTCAACATTTCTCCTGTTCAAATAAAAGTTTCAGCTCCAAATCTTGTCAAAATAATATCAACATGATTCTGATGTCACTTTTGAAGCCAACCATGTGTAAGGTAACTCCATTAGCAGCAGTGGGACATGAGCCGTGTCATCAACGGTAACCCCCCCCCCCCCCCTTATTCACTCTTCTTTGAAGATGAAACTATAAGCAGGCTTTAATAATGATATTTTGTGTTCTCTGCCTGCTTTAAGCTTTGTCTTCCTCAGACGCATCATGTAACGTAGCCTTTTGATAGAGAAACGATCTAATAATGACGTGAATGATGTGGGTCGTTAGTATGGGGGGGGGGGGAGAGGCGGGAGGGGGGGGGGGGGGGGCGTCGGGCTTTGACAGCAGCTGCCTGCGCCAGTCAACAAAAGCACAATCCACTTCATTTCCCCACGGCCAACATGCAAATCTTCCGCCGTGTCTCCAGCTCAGGTGCCTCATTTGCTCAGGTGATAATTCTCCACGCAGGGACACCTGCGCCGGCCCCCCCAGTCACCGCGGATGACGCTCTCCGACTAACGCTGATGGATTAGTCTGCAAACTATGGTAATTCCAATCACTGGCACTGCCCAATGACTTGAATTGACAAAGGCCCCCCCCCCCCCCCCCCAAAACCAATATCAGCCACTATCGCCCTGTCAGCGCGTCCCTCAGCTGCTTGTGAATGCTGCAGAGAGCAGCTGCTCCCCCAGCGGGGAGCTGGTGCCCTCGGAGACGCCCCTTCAAAGTCGGCAGCTTTTATTTATTTATTTGAGTTTTTTTATGTAAGTAGAGGCCAGATAATATTGTGAGACGGGAGCAGCAGTCCCCCCCCCCTCCCACCCGCTCTGTTCTCTGGCTGCTCCGGATGATGTTGCTGTTTACCCATTTGGAAATCCTGTGCAAATGTCAGGTGACCGTTTGGTCAATATTCTGAGGTGTGCGGGAGGAAGGGGGGGGGGCGCCGAGGCACCAACAAATCAATCACTGACAATTAGACATATTTGTCCCCTTCAGGTGACTGCAATCTACAGCGCCAATGTACGGCACATCTGGGGTCTTCCGTCTCCCCGTGGCACCGACGGGAAATTAAAGGCAGCTTTTTTCATCAGCACGCCGCTGGAAGCCCCGCGAGGAACAAGAGCCAACGGGAACGAGTTGGGCCCGTTTACAAATAGGTGAAAAAGGCTTTTACTGTGTAATCCTTAGAAGTTTCTATCCAATTGTCTCACTAAAAGGTCAAAACGCACTGAAGACATCTCAAGAAAACAGCAATGAATTACTGATTCGTAACACTGGACAAACGCCACTGACGTGGATTCAGTTGGTGGGTTTCTGTGAAGCTTTTCTACAAAGACAATCTGTGGGTCTGAGTCTTCTCCGAGTCACCAGAAGGAATCGATCATAAGTATTGAAGGCTTTTGATATAATACATTAAGTTTGGGATATTGCAAATGTACCTGCTGTGTACGGAGAAATGAAGTTTCATTTAAAACATGAAGCAGTGACGCAGTTCAGCCTCTAGTGGTTGAAATGACTATTACAACAACAAACAACTTTTCACCAGTTTTCCCAAATAGGGCAAAAAACAGAAAACACTAAATAAAGGCAAATATGAAAATCCTAATAAGGAACTTCAAAGGATAATTGTGGCACCGCATCACCTTGTCTTTTGGATAAGATCTAGAAGATGGATAACCAACATTTTCTTTTACCTCTTACAGCTTCCAATTGTCTTTACAAGACCAAACTAATGTTTATTTTTTTAAAGCGAATCTGAAATAGCTAACAAGCCTTCCTGACATCCGGCTACCAGGTGACCTCCCAACTGAGATCTTCGACCAAAACAGACGCATATTTGGCTGGCTGATTCTCTCTGATGACTGCGGCGGTCGTTGGACGGACGCCGTGGTGTCACCTTGTCTACCTATGCTGGAGCGAGTGGGTTTGGTCACCGGGGACCTCGGAGTGCTTGGAGGTGAGGGGGAGGCAGACTTGCCTGTGGTTATCCAATCGGCACAGCGCTCGGGGCGCTACGCTCCACTGTTAGTTGAGCTGAAAATAGCATGCGCGCTAACATTAGTAACTAGTCTCACCTACTGTGAACCAACGCGGACTAACATCATTTTTAAAGTGAATACAGTTTCTTTGCGCACGTTACTGACAGGCAGAGGAACGTTTTGGCTCTTAAGGCGTCATTTGTTTCCTCAGCTTGAGCTCGACCCGTCGGCTGTTGTCGGCGTTTAAGTCAATATTCGTTTACAGTCGCTAATGAGGCCAGATTAATATGAATGTATAATTAGGTGACTCATTACCATTGCTATTAGAGAGAGAAGGCCCAAACTTTATGGAAGAAGTTGACAATTTCCTAATGAAAGGAGGCATCGGAGTGCTCCGTGCTGATTGCAAGGGCAAACACAAGACAAGGTCAATTATCTGCAGAGGAGCCGGCTGTTTGGAGCTTTTTAATTCCGCATGGGAGGAAAAAATAACAACCTTTTTCTGAGAGTCGAAGCCTGATGATTTATTCAGGCCTGAAGCCCGTGCACGTTTCTACTTCTAAGAGCATGCAAGCACTCACACCGTTAAACCACAGTGCAACATGTCATCGCAGCATACAGCGCTGTATGCGCCAGGTACGACATGCCGCATGTCTACGACAGCGACGCGCTACGTACTGAGGCCGACAGCAGAAGCCGACGTGGGAGCTGCAGCGGAAGTGTGGGGGGGGGCGAGAAGGGACAGGCAGCGCTAAGCAGACGTTGACACGTACAATTCACACTGCGGGATCGAAGGTGGCGCTCTCAGCAAAGCCGCTTTTAGAGGCGTGAGCGGAAAGCGGTGGACAAACGCACGCAGCGACGGCAAAATTCAATACATAAGAAATGAGTCGTCTTCCCTGTAATCATCTTTTTCGTATCTTTTGTAGCTGGCTTCTGTCCATGCAAATAAACAACCCGTAATTAAGCTCCTTTCCCCGGATTGTGAGGATCCCGTTCGGCGAACACTAAGTAATCGCTCAAAAACGTGAACCCCCACAGCGCGTTTCATCAAGTGGAACCGTGCTTCTTTTCTTTGGCGCCACACAACCTGAATTCGGCGCTCGAAGCCTGGCGCTCGTATTAAACAGAGGCGGCGGGGCCAATTATTTCCTGCTGACAGTATCTGTTCCCGCTGCTCCCTGTTTCCCTCCCCCGCGCGATCGGTCATCACAGCCCCCTTTCCCCCCCCCCCCACAATCTCACACAAGCTTGACTTTTGAGCTCAACAAATGATATGTAATTAAAAAGCAAAAGATTACACGCTATTCGCCGGCTCATTAAGATTACTTACCCGGCAACTCTTTCTTGTGATTACACAATTCAGTATCAGCAACTTCAGCCCCCCTGCTCAAAGCAATTGTGGTTCTTTGCTGATTGTTTCATAGCTCGCGCTCTCTGTCCAATCAATAAGCACTAGCTCTCTTCTGACAGTGACAAATGAAAACCTCCGCTCCCGACCGTATGAAATTGTTTATCCACACAAATTACTTCCGTGGAGATACGAACAGGCCGACGATGACATCCTCTCTTTTGTTCTACAGTGAGGAGGCTCCGGCGCCTCCTCCTCTCCGCCTCAACGTGTTATCGCTGCCCCCCCACCACCACCTGCCCCCCAGTCAAGTGCTTTCCGTCACTCACTTGTCTCCAGGGTGGTGGTGCCCTCCTCGCTGGTGACGGGCCCGCAGCCCACCGCGGTGCAGGAGCGCAGGTGGAGCCTGTATCTGCTCAGGGGCTCCAGGTCGCGCAGGATCCACGTGGTGGCGTCGGGGTTGCTGACGTCCACCGTCTGCGGGGGCCCCGCTTCCTCGGTGTCGTTGACTAGATGGAGGAATGGAAGTCACATCCATAAACGTTCAAAATGTCATGTACAGATGTGCGTGTTGGCAGCACACACTGGATACAGTGAAAAAGGAGAAGAAGAAACGGTGGTCTGTCAGAAGGACGATGTCTCACGCACAAAGTGCTTTGCTGTAGAAGGGTTGGGCACTATTGATATATATATATATATATGTTTAGTCTTGGATGTGGGATGTGGGAGATTTTGTTTCCAGGTGTTAAAGGCTGCGTCAGTCTTTCAGAAAGCAAACGACACAAACGCAGATCTCCCCCCTACTTAGAAAACTTGCTTGACTCGATACCTCACAGTTAAAATGTGATCCACTAAACAGATTGTGGCCTGCACATTCACAACTAGGATTTATCAGCGTTGTCCTTGTCTGCTTTACGACGCGTTCTCATTTTTCAGCCCCCGAGGCGGCGCAGTAGGCAGGGAGGTGGCATTTATGTTCTTTAGAGCAAAAACAAACGCAGCAGGTGTTCAGGTGACCTTTGCTGTGAAAAAGGTGCAACAGAAACAATGACAAGAATGTATCGGTCTGCCTCTCATTTTGCTCAGAACCCCCCCCCCCGCGGTCATCAGACACCAGGGCTTTTATCTGGTTGTTCTAATGGACATTAGCTCCTCTGCTAACAGAGGTGCTGCAGAGAGGACGCGTCGCTTGGACCCTTGTGGACGGATATTTGTCAGAGAGTCAGACTGAAATCCACACGGCAAAGCGTTTTTCATGCATATGATGCTTTTAAAAGCCAGTCGTCTTCCACACAGCTTATTCTTAGAGGGTCATAGGGGGGGCTGGAGTGAACCCAGCTAGCGTCAGGTGACAGGCGGGTACGCCCCTTGGACCGGTCGCCACTTAATTGTAGGGCTGATATACAGACAGACAATCAATCACTATCACATTCACACACCTACGGGCAATTTTAAATGTCGTATCCGGCCGTTGGACTGTGGGAGGAGGGAACCCACGCAGACTGCATCAACGCAGCCAACCGCTCCGAGCAGAAGCGAGCTGGATGGAGTTGGACCACTGGTCTTCACCTCTGTGACACACGTGTGTTTGTCAGTGGAGAGTCTATGGCTGCTGGTTTTGTCTGTCCTGCTCCGCTTCGGGCTCCACAGTGGATGAGCAGCTCTTTAAGGCCCCTGTGACCGAAACCACCCACTCACTCACTGTGAGATGCGTTCAGCCAGAAGGTGTTTAGTGATTAGGGAAATAATACTGACATTAACTTTCTGTATGAGGTCAGTATATAAACTATTATCATTGCTAGTAGAGGGAAAAAAACGTCAAGTCTCTTGAAGGTTTTGGCAGATGAACGAGTCTGGATGAGCACCCAGGACACCGAGTCCTGTTGGGAGTCTTTTCTTTCCAGAGTTGTTGCCTTATCAGATTCTGTTTGGTTAGAAAGACATTTACTATATAATTCCCTCCAAAGGGCATTTTGAATATGGTTTTACATATTGCAAAGATGTAACCAAACAAACAGCATAATGGTATAGATGTGTGATTGATTTATTGCATAAGATAATTGCACAGTATAATGAATGAATATGAATAATAAAATGTACTCTGGAAAGTACAGTGTGACATCATCTACAACAACCATGAAAAAAAAACAATAAAATATTTCGATAACCCTAATCAGCCCTTAAAGCACTCAAATATTTCAATTAAACCAAATCTCTGACAAGTCATGATCACCAAAGGCCGAAACCCAACTGATTACTGTGAAATGCTGTGACAAAGGTTCCGAGGGCTGAACTCTGACCAGTAGAAATAGTAAATCAACAAGGGCTGAAATCTTAAACATTGCCACCTTGAGCAAATCGATTCTAACCATCAGAATTGGTGTCAAAAGAGGACGCCTCCCCCAAACAGTGCGCTCCAGCCCACCACATGACGTCCCTCAAGATCACTTATAGAAAGCGAAAAAGCCACGAGCTCCTCGTCGTTATTGTCGTGGTACAATGACGACGTCGCTGCGTGAAACCGGGGCCCCTCTTGTGCCGCCGCCGAATCAAACTCAATTAGCCCGAGATGCGGCGCTGAAGACGGCGTTTAACGGGCGTTCAGTGACTGTATCCCCCCCCCTGCCCATAGACAGGATGGGGTCACTGAAGCCGGAGCCTTAACACACTGCGACATGGTGGCTCTGGTCAGCACCGGCCGACAAGTCTCCTGTGCACACACACACACACACACACACACACACAAACACACTCCCAGAGCCATTAGGGCAGCACAGGGACTCACAGGGACTCCCCATGCCTCACGGTCTCACGGGTTCTCTCCGGGTACTCCGGCTTCCTCCCACAATCCAAAGACATGCTTTGGGAATTATGTCTGGTTGTGATTGGTGACTCCAAAGTGCCCGTAGGTGTGTGCATGGTTGTCTGGTCACGTTGGACATATTTCGGACATGATGAACGACAAACAAGAAAACCTTCATACATGTAACGCAGAGCGGGCTCAGCGCAGGAGAAATACCCGCCGCGATGAACCCGTATTTTAAGTAGGACTGCTGATACTGCCTGTTACATGATTGTCTCCTCGGGGGCTTTTTAAAGGTGCCCTAAAGGAAGCGTTGCCTAATACCGGTCACTCGCCGTGTGCTGCTGTTTCTGGAAATATTGATATAATAATAACGTACTATTCTTTCTGGGCAGCCCGATCCAATCACAGGAAGAGGAAACACGGGGATGTGAAAGATGTTAAACACTCCATCCGAGTTCGGTAATGGTGAGACGAGGGGATACGTACTGAGCTGATACTCGAGGAGGTACCCGGTGAGAATTCCATTAGGCTCCGATGGCGGGGCCCAGCGCAGAAAGATGCTGTGCTTCTGGACACCCGTGACCTGGAAAACGGGATTTTTCCCCGGGACTGCGGGGAGCAGAGAAGAAAAGGCACACGGTGAGCAGCCAAAACTCTCTGGCTATTATTAGACCCGCCCCCCTCCGTGGCTTTCAATCAATACACCACGCTGTTATTGGACAATCCTACCTCCCTCTGGGGTTTTGAAGTTGAGGGGGTGGCTGCCGGGGCCGTTGCCCCGCCCGTTGAAGGTCATGACCATGAGGCTGTACTCGGAGAAGGGCCTCAGCGCCGGCACGGTGGCGTGCGCGCGGTCCCCGGGGAACGCCAGCGAGTGCTTCTCTCCGTGGCCTTTCTTGGAGTCCGCCAGGCTGCGCAGACGCCACCAGTTCACCTAAAGAGAGGACGCACAGAGACCTCCTCAGCGGGAAGACAGCGGACTATGCACGTGCGTCTCCTTTGGTCCGTGGGGACGTGTGCAGGAGGACGTGAGGAGAGACGAGGAGACGTTCAGAGCAAAGGTCTGTTTTTGAGAGATTACCCTGTAGCCTCCCAGATGTCCGTGCAGCTTGTCCTTGTGTACACGCGTCCAGCTAACCTTGACCACTGAGCTGTTCAGCACCTCCACGACCACGTTGTCTGGTGCAGCAGAGGGAACTGCAAAGACAAAGGGGACATTTGAATCTGGACAAGCGCATATTGCCAACTATGATGATACGCAGCCACCTACATTTACTGGGCACATAGAAGGGAATGTGGGTACCTACAGTCAGACAAGCTAACGGCACACAGCTATTGATACGGGACACAACAAGGAAGAGCGAGTTGTGACCTGAGGTTACATCCTGTGGACAAGTCCAGAAGAAAGCTAAAGAACAGGAGACAACGTAAGCTTCTGCACATGCCGCCTCGAGTTCAGCAGAGAAATGTTTTCTCCAGTAGATCATGAAGCTACAAACGGGAGTAATGGGCAGGTGGAAGGTTTCGTCCACCAGGACATCTCCTGAATGTTTAATAGCAACAGCAAAAGAGATTAATAGCGCATCTAAATATAGAATATTGGGTTCAAACCTTTTGTCAAATGTATTTAAAAATTAAAAATTCAAGGCAAGTGACAGGTTATTATTTACAGATTAATTTGGAAGGTTCATTTTAAAAGATACTTTTTGTTATAATACAACAAATAAAAAAAAAACTTTACGTGTTCCCAAAATACAAACAATTTACATGCGACCTGAAACAAATCACCAAAATGTATTTGCACTCCCTCGTCTCACAGGTCCCCCACCCCCCAACAAACAAAGACCACTACTCACAGTCCTCCCCCGAGTATCCGGTCACTATCCGGGGCTCAGGGCCCCAGCCCTGGTGGTTCCTGGCTTGGATCTTGATCTCGTACGGCACAAAGGTGGGAGTGTTCTTCACCACAAACGAGTGTCTCTTCACCATGTGCTCCTTCCAGTCCTCCTCCACGTCCTGTCTCCTGTAGCTCACCTTGTACTCCAGACCGGGACCATTGTGCTCGATGGGGAGCAGCGGCTGCAGGACGGGAAAGCAGAAATGAAAGCGGGGAGTGGCCCCATAGAGACATGGCCGTCATTGTGCCTCAGAGGGAACACAATGGCGACCGAGTGGACTCTGCTCGGAGCACCGTTCTATCTATGAAACGTAACAGCTGATCTGGTCTCGCTGCAGCCGCGGCCTTTCTTTCATACGAGGCTTGCTATTTGCGCCGCCGATGAAAAGCTTTATCTGCTCACAGGAGTCCGGCAGAGAAATGGAATGAGATACCATTATCCCCAAAAGCAAGTCATTAACGGAGGGAGAGCTCAGGAGACTCTGTTGCAACAACAGGGCGACCAGATAATAAGTGAAGGAGAGGCTTCTTTTTACAATAAAGGCCGAATGTATTACCTCTTATCCTTTCTCTTCATCAAAGAAAAGGGGACAGCTTTCACCAGGAAGCCATTCAGAGTAATCATAAGAAATGGCTTTTCTAAAGATCTGAACCACAGAATGAAATATCAAAGGTGGGCAGTTCCTAATGCATTTAATTCCTATTGGTAATTGTGAAGCATTGACGGAGAGTGTGAATACCTCCCTGTACAAACCACTGCAGGACGTGCGTTAAGAAGATAACACAGGAGCAAACTGTACTTCTTACCTCCCAGTTGATATCCATTTCATGCGGCAAATGACCTTCAATTTTGATATTTTCTGGGTTCTTGTCCGGGGCTGCAGAAAAGATGGAATATAGATTTTGTCGCATGAAGTGTGCACACAAGAGAACGTGGTGTTTTGTTTTCCTTTTTTTCCGCAAGAGCAGAATCAATTATGTGGCGGTGAGTCTTTTCAGGGTCGCCGGAGCGGCAGCGATGAGAAAAGGGCGCGAGCCTCGCACCTGCCGGCGGGGGTTTGTATCTCTCCGTGGGCCCGCTGGGACGACCCCTCCCCACGGCGTTGAGGGCGGACACGCGGAAGCGGTAGTCCACGTGGCCGTGCAGCTTGGCCACGGCCTGGTTGTGGTTGCCGGGCACGCGGAGCAGCTCCTTCCAGGTCCCCGGCTCCCACTGGCTCTCCTCGTACTCGATGATGAACTCTGTTGACAGGCAGGAGGAGGATCACAGCGGACCCTCGCTTATCTAGCTAGCAGCTGTGTAGGGTGGGGTTGGGGGGGGGAAATACTGGAGCCCTGCTCTGGGCTTGTGTATCCCTAAGGGAGGCTAATCATCGCTCATGCTTACATAGATCAATAATAGACTTGTATTGTACAAGATGGTATCAAAGAAAGACGTAAAATGTGCAAAAAGCAGTGATTCAGAATGTGCCGTGCTGACACCTGAACACAGATGCTTCATCAGTTTATTTATTTACCTGAGACGGAGCTGTTGTGATCGTCTCCAGGGATCCATTTCAGTTTCACACTCTTGCTCTTGTGTTCAGACAGCACCAAGTACTCGGGTGCATCTGGGACGTCTGAAAAAGCATCACACCACGGCTTTTTTTTCCTCCCAAATCACAGACACATCGATCTCTGCAGCAGCAACAACCCAAAAAAGGCCAACGGGAACCGACGTCCAATCAAATCAACCCGCAGAGCCGCATCGCTGCATACTTCTGCATAATACAGAAGGGGGGCGATTGTCGCACAGCAGAGAGCTAATAAAGCCCGTGTGTCCGCGGCGCTCCGGCTCCCTGACATATTGATCCCTTTATGGACGCCTCATACATAAATGTAGCACCAGGGGTCCCTGATCCTTCTGGCCCCCGAGGCCGAGGTATCGCTGGTTAACTGTTGGCTCACCAAGCACCATGAGCAGCGTCGAGGCCGAGTCTCGGTCCACCGGGGTTCTCGCCACGCACGTGAACACGCCCTGGTCCCCGTGGCTCACGTTGACGATCTGGAGGACACCTTCCTCCACAAAGTACCTGTGGACAGAAAGGATGGAGCACAAGATATCGATCGGTAACACTGTAGAAATAGATAGAAAAGAAAGGGGGGGGGAGCAGCATCCTACCTTGAATTCTCCGTGTGGTTGAGGCCTATCGCCACATCGTCTTTCTCCCACAGGAGCTCAAAGTCGTGGCTGAAGGACTTGTCGTACTCTGCGAAGCACGAGAGCTGGGCCGTGGCACCTATTAGGATCTGCACGTCCTCCTGGGCCGCCACCACTCTGGTGGGATCTAACGTGGGCGCACGCAAATCGGTCACATTTCAAGGGCTCCAAGCCACGACCAAGCGCACTTTTACAGGATACACCGACAGGCGACAACAGCAGTTTACCTTTCACGTAGAGCCCGGCATTGACGGCGGACGACCCCTCCGTGTTTTTGGCTAAACACGTGTACTGTCCCGCGTCGTCTTTCTCGGCGCCGTAGATCTCCAGCGAGCCGTTGTCGTGAACGGCGAACCTCGGCCCCTCCACCGATTCAGGGGAGTCGTCTTTGCTCCTGCGGAACAAAGAAAGTTCAATCGAAGCGCCTTGGATTCCGAACTCTCAGTGAACCCAGCGGCAGTCTGACAGGATGAGACCGCGCACGCCGGGGAAGTTGCTCAGCACAGCACGGGTGTAAAGTAACCTGGAAACAGGAGGTCGCCAGGAGGGAAAAACACTGTGTGTGTGTGTGTGTGTGTGTGTGTGTGTGTGTGTGTGTGTGTGTGTGCGCGTCCAGCGGTTGAGATCTACTGCCCTCTGCTGGCGTGCGGGAGGCACACGGTGCACACGTACCAGGTGACCGTAGAAGGAGGCGAGCTGAAGACGGAGCAGTGCATCATCACTCCCTTCCCCTCCACGGCGGAGTAGTCCTCCCCCTCCTTGGTCAGAATCATGGGGGGCAGATCTGTGAGAGGCAGAGTGATCATCAGAGGACGAGTGCCGCGGAAGAACCCAGTCACGGCTACTTTCAGAGAGCAGTCTGAAAACAGGAAGGCGAGGAGGCCGATCGTGGCGGGTTGAGTGAGGCGACGCCGCCGCTGTTGATTGATTGTCGCCTCTTGTGCGGCAAAAAAATACTAAAGACTAAGCGATGTGGGAATGTAACAACAGCAACAAGAACAAAAAGCCGAGCGGAATCAGACGCAAACAATGGAATATTAAGTGAGCGCGGCTCATGCGCCTTATCAGTCGTGGCCAAAGCGTCGCGTTACAATGGTCCGTCCCTCCGAACTGTTTACGAAGGCGGCCGCTGGGACTCGGCATTCAGACACTGTTCAGCTTTATTAACTCTGCAGCGTTCCGTCTTTTTTTTTTAATCTGCACTTGTAAAGCAGCACATGGTTGTCTTATGGCCCTGAAATCAGTACGGAATTGGGGTGGGCGGAGGGGGAGGGGGGGCTGGTTAGCATACAAATGCCAGGGAGCTGAGGCCTGTTGCTCCGCAGGGAGAGCCGCTCGGGCCCCAAATGTCAGAGTCCCCTCGCTGGGCTGCTGGGCCGCCGTACGCCGATGACTCGCTGACACTCGGACCTTCGGCTCCTGTTTCATGGCGCCGGCGGCGAGAGCACTTACTCATGATCATGACGTTGGCGTTGGCCAGGAGGGTGCCGTGCTTGTTGGAGGCCTCGCACTGATAGACGGCGCTGTCGGCGGCTTTGGCGTTGTGCAGGACTATGGTGTCATCAAACACCTTCCGGTTGGCCGAGGGGGCCCCTGTGAGACATGTGCATTAAAGACCGGACTTTCTCTGGCTCGAATTTCCTCAACAAACCTCAAAACCATTTACATTTCATCCCAACTAAGTCGTATTAAAAGAAATGACCAAATCCTGAGGACAAGGCGTCAGTGCAAAGGTTCGAAAAAGAGAGGAGGGTCTTAGACCGCAGAGGGACTGACCCGTCAGAAGCTCGCCGTTCACCCTCCACGTTATCCTGGGCTGAGGGGCCCCGCTGGCGGCGCACTTGATGAGCACGTCGGAGCCGATCATGCTGAGCTGGCCCTCGGGCTCGAACACCCACTCCGGGGGCTCTGGGGACACGAGATGAGCGAGCGAGACACTCGGCGTTCACAGAGAGCGAACGCAATCAGGGGAAGGACACCGGTTTACTGATGCCGAGGGACGCGAGAGGCTCTTCAGCTGCTCGCTGTCTCGCCACAATCCTTGAACGTTTGGTAAAGATTCGGTTCACGAGGGCGCATTTACCTCCACGTGTTTGAGGTCGGCAGAACATTTCCCCAAGTACCGATGTACCATTTTCAGGTACTTAGCTATTTAGCATTTTCAAATATGTATTCAAATATCCGCCAAAGACCCAAGAAGCCGTGTGAACATCTCACATGGCTTCATCTAAATAACCGGTTGAGAAGTGGTCATTTCGTAATATTTCAGAAAACGATTTCAGCAAATAGGAAATAGAGGAAAGTCCAAAATCTGAATAAAAGTGGTTAGATCAGAACTTTCTGGCCTATTGATCATCAAACGACTCCTCAGACCGATGACTTTTCGGCGGCGCCCGATCTTTCCTCTAAAATAAAAATACGTCCAATGAGCTCTTCTTCCAAAACATAATGCATCAGAGTTCAAATGTAATTATATATCAGTCGCAAAGGTCACTTTTAGGAGTATTTTAACTTCCTCAAATATTGTTGCTAATTATTCTGTACTTTTACTTCATTTAGTGCACGACATGCAGTATCTTCACACATATTGATACATTTACTGAAGTAAAGGATCTTAAAACTAATACATTGAGGTCTACAAGCAGCATATTTTTCAGATGATGGGACTGAATTTGATTTGAACATATCTGACTACCTTCCACCGTCAGTGTGAAGTAATGGGTGGCTTCTCCCAGCGCGTTCTTCGCCTTGCACATGTACTTCCCGTCGTCTTCCCGGTCGACTTTGGGCACAATCAGCCGCTTCCTGTGATTCTCCAGTCTGACTTTATCCGGGAGTTGATGACCCAACTTCACCCACTCCACGCTTGGAGTTGGACTGAGAGAAAAGGGGGCGAGCGGTGAGCGGGATGCCGACTAAACGTTAGACGTGAGAGGTTTAGTTACTCACAATCCCTCAGCAATACACTCCCATTCCAAGTCGTCTCCTTTGACCAGATGTGTCTCTGATCTGACACCAGGGGGCGTCAGAAGAGAGGGTCTTCTGTCGAGGATTGCATTGGCTGAGGGACACAGCAGAGAATTAGACGCTAAAGACTCTTTATCTTACACATTTATATGCGCACACATCTGGTTATAGATGATGGACACCTGTGTTTTACTTTTAAAAACTCACCAGTTTCTGGATTCATGCCACTTTTTTCTGAAATGGAGGTGGATGAGACATAAAAAGACGATGAACACGAGGACAACGTGGATCAATGAGACACATCAAAGAAAAACCACAACATAAAAAATCAAGGAGATGCGACGGCGTGACGTGTTCGCGGGTGCTGATGTGACCCGTGGTGGTGGTGGGGGGGGGATGAAGGGACACCTACTCGTCTTCACGACGACGGACATGGCGTTCTTCTGAACGATGGTGCGTATCTTGGAGAAGGCGGCGAAGCAGCAGTAGTCCCTCCTGCTGTCCTTCTCCACGGCGTGGGAGAAGTAGAGGTCTCCGTTCAGGCCCATGGAGACCCGCTCGTCCTGCTCGATGTGCTGCAGGTCTGAGCACAGAAAAGGGGCGGGGCTTACTCGTGCTCCACGGTACATTATTTATGTATTCTGTACAACGGTATACTTGTACTACCCTTGTTTGCCTGTACTACAACAACTAGATTTACTACTTTATGTGTCACACACCAAATTGTTATATTAATAGCTAATTAAATATGCTGTATTTCACATGGTAAACCAAGATTCGACAAATAAAACAAGCAGAAATGTGTATTTGAATGGTCTCAGCCCCAGCATGTATCTTGTGGAGCGGGTGGCACGGATAGAAGTAACTGGTGAGGACTTGTGTGAATATATGTGCATATAAAGTAGTTAGAACAAGGTGACTGACCGAGCATCAGATCAGAGGTTAACGGGCTTAATCAAGAGATATCAACAGGTCATTGTCCTTCAAGGACATCTTTATTAAGTTGTAATCACATTTAATTGATCATTATCTCTGGTATATTTAGGGTTAGTGTGTTTGTGTGGCAAATGATGTGATGTTAATTGTGTGTGGTTCTTATGTTGTGTTATTGTTTCTTGCACGCAGCCTTACGTGTGTGCAAAGTGAAGATAGATGTCAAGGGGTGAGGAGAACGTATCCCGTAGAAAACATTCCGTCGGTTGTAATGATAAGGTGTATGGTTACAAAAACAAATTTGTATTTTGAACTAATTTGTACACAACATCCCCGTTATAGTATGACTCACTGATAGTCATCCAGTAGATCTGGAGGGGAGGGATTCCTTTCGGTGGGTCACACTGCAAAACAAAAGCCTGGCCTTCCTCCACCACAACGGGTTCAAGTGTTTCTTTTGGAAACTTCGGAACATCTTGAAGAAAAAAGAGAAAAAGCCAGACGGGAATAAATTAAATATTGGACGCAGTTCTCTTCTCCTCCAGGAGATGGCAGTGGTATCATTCAGGGATCCACTGGGACGAGCCGTCTTTCCCTTTGACACATTCTTTCACTTGTTGACCTGCAGAAACAAAGCAGACGTCACTGCCACTATCGTGTGTGGCGTCTCGGCGGAGCTCGCGGAGTGGATTCTCTTTGAGAATTCATCCGCTGTGTTCAGGGGGGAGAAGCAAATGATGGAGATGCTGAATCATACTCAAACATGCTTTTTTTTTAATCCAATGTAGGTGGGAGGAGAGCTCGGGGGGCCTCAGTGACTTTCTGCCTGGTCCAACACAATGAGAGGTTCACAATGGAGAGGTGCAGTCATTACACACGTCTGCTGGCCCTGAATCAATCTGAAAGCCCTGTAACAGAGCACCACACACACACACACACACACACACACACACACAGATGCATGTTACTCACTGGGCACAATGAACTCAATCTCCTTCGATATGGCGGTCCCCATTCTGTTTGAGGCGTAACAGCGATAGGTTCCCTGGTACTCTGTAAGGTTCCCATTATTGGGTATCACAAAGGTCCCAGAATTCTCCTCTTTCATCAGGCGGGGGTCCAGCGAGGGGTCGAATTCCTGGCCATTCTTCATCCATGTGAATCTACATAAAGAAAGGCGGTATTGAAAGGTCAAGTCCCTCAGCTAAGGGCAACTCCTTTTCCAACCCAAACCAAATGCTGCACGGTGACGGTAAGCGGCTGCCGCTGTTGTGGTTTGCGGCTGCTGGGTGTCTGGCTCTCCGCGCGCCACGAGGCCGGGTACTCACTCTGGCTTGGGGTTCCCTTTGGCTTCACACGTCACGGGGAAGCTCTCGTCGAACGGGAAGGCGATGAGGGGGCTGGGCGACTGCGCCGTGATGGTGGGCAGCTGCTCAACTTGGGGACACAAAAACAAGGGAGGCAATGTGAGGGACACGACCCGGGCCCACATGCAGAGCATCAGACTACGGCCAGTGGTTCCCAACCTTTTGGGCTTGTGACACCCGTCTTCTAATGAGAACATCTTCCAAGTAACTTCTACTTTTGGGTGAGTGTGTCTGCGGTGTTTTAGGGAGTAAGTCTCTCAAAGCGATTTTAATTATATTATGATCACTTCGATTCTTCTCGGGTCCCCCCTGGGTGGTCTTAACCCCAAGGTTCAGGGGCCCCCACTGTCTCAGAATGGGCCTTTTGGGGGAGAAGGGGGAATAACCAACACGGTAAGCATGATGGAGTCCAGTACAATATAAGTCTGATTTATCGCTGTTCTCTCAAAGTGTCTTTTACGCATCAAGTAAATGAATCCAAAATAAAGCAGCCAGCAAACCACAACCCAACGTTACAGGCGCGTGCTGCCAACTTCTGTCCCGCCCGCTACGTGTGCGATGCCAGTTGGGGAGCCGAATAAAAAGCCCAAAACAGTCGGCGCGCGAGCGCTGAAGCTGTGATCCCGATATCACTGCGGCTTCCCAGCGGAGCGTTCAGGCCCAGTGGAAACAATGCGGCTTAGCTGGCTGATCCGCCCAAAGCCGCCGGCGGATGAGAGGGGCAGCGGGACACGGCAAGGAGTCAAAGATGTGGACGTTCAACACTTGTTTGATATGGTGATTTTCCCATGGGTGCTGGCTAAAACCTCCACCCGGGGACCAACCCTGAGGTTGGGAACCACTGAGATGTTTGCGATCACTTATCTCTGTACAGACACAGTTATTCTTTTAGACAAGATGTTTTGCTAGATTTCTTCTACTTTGGCACGGAACAAACACAACACAGGCGAGGAGTGTGAATAGCTGTGAAGTTAGAACGAGGACATGCCATGAGTCCTACACGCTAGATGGAGTCGTGACAGATAACACATGAGATTCCGATCCAACACACATGGCTGGAAGCGAAGCATCCGCTGTGCTCGGCGGCGGATGATTAACAGACGGCAGCGCCGGATGTCACTAATACCAGCGACGGTACGCCAGCGCCAACTTACTGTTTATATGAGCTAAAACTACCAGTCCATGTCAGCAGGGGGGAGGGGGGGGAGTAAACAAAACAAAACACAGTCAGCGATTTACAAATAATCTCCTCATGTCACAGGAATTCTCTGCATAAACCCCTTTAGTACACACATGAGTAATGCAGAAACACAGGCCTGAATTAGAACAAAATACTGTTACCTTTGCTGTTTGAACAATTCTTTATCACTATCAGGCCCTTAACAGATATTTCTGAATAATTCAGAGGGAGAGGTTGGATGTGTGTTTCCAAGGAAACTGAGGCTCCAACACAAAAGGGACGAAAAAAATCTGACTCAAAGCAGAGAGCGGCTGTAAATATATTCTATTCAGAGTGCTCGTCGATTGTAACAGTCCTCCGTAGTGCGATTCATCTGCCTCTGAAATATTCAACACCTTTTTCCCCCCCATTAAAAGCACTTAAAGATAAAGTCGTCTTGAGACGAGCGTTAGTAATTCTTCTTTTGTAAGACCCCTGTCCTTTACATGCTCTGCTGGCGTCTCGCTTCACCAACGGCTCACTTGAAGTGGCTTTTAACAGGAGTGTGATGAGGGTTTGTTTTGTCACAATTTGTCCGTTTCATGCTGAATTATTAGTGTTAAACAGCAACCGAGAGGAAAACAGCTGATCTTATTATTATCATTGACATTGTTACATTTTTAGAGCTGTTTCAGAACTAAAATGAGACTATCAAGTAGATGATGGTACAAAAGTGCTGCTGTATGTTCGTTAAGGGCATCACATAAAGCATCCCAGCATGCATTGCATGAGCGTTGAAATCTTTGAATAACAGAATTGCTGGTAGTGGATGTCAACCAAGTTCAGCAGACAACACGATGTTCCCAACCTGTCAATCACGACATGGCCCCGCCCTAAAGCGTACCCTGCTTCATGTGATGCTAAATAGACCATCGGTTACCATCGGTTACGGCTGAACATCATGCTGTATTGAAGAAGACTTGAAGCTATTGAGACCATGAACTGATGTTTACAAGGTTTTCTGAGGGAATAAATGAAACCGAGGTCATGATCTCATAGATTTCTACACAATCTTACTTCTTATTTTTTAAATCAGCCATTTGAATCAATGCACTTGGCTTTTCATACCTGGGTGTTTAGCAAAACCTTTCTAGAAACCCTTCTTTGATTTTTCTTGTTCAGCGGAAACATACATGGGAAATAATAAACACACGCATAGAATGTAACCAAAGACATGTTATATTAAATAAACTTGGTTTTCAAGTTATTCAAGTAGAGTTGACTCACATTTTGAATGCGGCACAGAACATTAAAGGCTCGCTTTAAAACAATAATTTAAAGGGTCCATTTAAATTCCCAGTTAGTGTTTGCCTCCAATTGAACATAATATAAGTGAATTAAGTGAAAACTGTTCTTTTTGGTGTCATTGCAGAAACAATGAAACCTATTTATTGATAGAAAGTGGTCCATATGGAAGCCGCAGCCGGCACTCACCCTCCAGCGGGATGTCGACGGCTGTCGTCGCATAAAAGGCACAGACGCAGGTCATCAAGCCCAGCGCGGCGACCACTGCCGGGCTCCTCTGCCGCAACCTCATGGTTTCTCCTCGAATCGCGGACGTCCTCAGGAAGCGAGTGTTCCGTTTGCTTGGTCCTCAGTGCATTTCCCTGGCGCGCCGAAGATGCGGTACCTGTGAGACAAGAACGCAGACGGGAGGAGGAGGCCGCATGAATCCACCCACGCCAACGGACGGGAAGAGCAGAACCCCAAACACAACCGGCCCCCCGTGACCGGGGGAGCCCGGCTGCTCTCAGCCCCAAGATTCAAATCCAAAAATCACCATGAAAGTTGGAAGGAAATTCTTCATCTGATAAAATCGTGGCTGCCTGTAACCGATAACGACGACTCGGCGGGATTAACAATTTAGCGACACATTTTCCCGCCTTTGCAGCGAATCTTGCTGCCTGGGGGATGCGAGCTATTAGTGGATCACGTAGTCAACGGCCGGCGACGCTGTGCGAGCGCAAACAGCCTGACGGGCCCCGCCGAGCCGCGTCGGGTGGATCATTATCCTCCCAACGGAACCCAGAGGCGCCGCGACGGACGGGATTCTCGGGGCTCTGTGCCCCGGGCCGTCAGTTCATTAGTCTTCACTCGCGCCGGCTCGGGAATGCGGCTCGGCCCGGGTCACGCCGGAGTAATTAGCTGAACGGCGAGACACGCGCCGTGTCTGATAACACAAAGAAGAGCAATGGCAAAAACATGAGCTGAGTGGATAAATCGTGAGGCTGCTGGTCTAAAGGGGGGTTGCCGGCGTTCATGTTAAACAAGTGGTTTCGTTTAACGCGCATGGGGCATCGCGCCGAGGCTGGTGTTGCTTTGGCGCAGATTAAGGATTCGAGGCGCGTGTGTCGTTAAGGAGGACCAACCGAGACATGGACGTCTGAGGAAGGGAGCATTGTTAACGATAATGCTTGAATCCAACTGTGGCTTCTTTACTTCATGAAGGCCCATTGAAACGCAGGTCAGAGGGTCTTTAGCTTCTCTTCTGTCAAATGTAACCCGCTGACACACAATATTTGGGCGCTTTTGGTTGAGGGGATTATGACCCTTCTCCCCAGAGAAAAAGTAAATCTCGGATCCATTTTCCAAAGCCGATACAACATTTCGAACACGCAAATCAAGAAAACATGCGCGTGGAACCAACAGCTAACAAACGCTAAATGCGGCAGCAGAGTAATTCATGTTAGGGAAATATAAAAACATTGCTTTTCCCCAACCACCCGGTCTGTGGGCCATTTTTGACCGGATTATCTCCTAACCAGGTCCATCTTAACAGATTTCCCGAGCGCCACCACTCCTTGCTCTGCACGGCCATTTTAAATGGTTAAAATCAGTCAGTTCTTCTTAAGCACACGTTTTATTTTACAGGAAGAAGCGAGGATTTAATGTTATCAAAAACAAAGAGTTCTTTTTTGGGGGGTAAATCTTTTTTGCATAAATTCTTGGAGTGGTGCACGCTATGAGTGGAGTTGTGACCTCAGAGTTAAAAAGGGATTTCTAATTTTCACTTCAATAAATTCAATGGGAAACACTGAGGTCAAACTCCCTTTTCAAGGGATGTAATTAAATAACTGACCGTAGGGCAAAGGAGTCGATTTCATTCATTGCGTGCAGATCTGTTTTCAGATGAACGTGCACTCTGAACTTTCCAACCATGCCTCATGTTAATGGTATTAACTCCGTACTGGCTTTCTGAACCATTGTGACCTCTGCCACACCCACTGACAAGGCTGGAGACTTTTGTAATACATTATATGAACCCACTCCATCACGATTCAGGCCTATTGACTTTATTTCCAACTGAAGATTGGTGTCTCACAGTCATAAGTCATTCCCAAAAAAGGCCTCAGGCTTTCCTTTGTTTCAGTTTTTCCCAGACATGGTGATTAATGTTACTAAACAACAGGTTTAAATTAAAAGGTGAGGGCTGCCTGCTAATTGGCTTGTGCTTTGTTGGCAAGATTGGCCTGGTTAAGAGAAGAAGGGGGGCTCTCAACCCCCACAAGACATTGTTTTCTCACCGTGTCCAGAATCCCTTAATAACCCAACACCACCTTCAAGGGATTACATTGTTCAAACTGTGCTCGGCCAGTTGCCTTCTGATTTAATTTGTTCTCCCCTCGTTAAATATTTATTGAGAACCAGCTAGGCCATCTGGTTGAGGGAGGTTCGCTCTCGGGGTTCAACTGCTGCAAGTGGTGATGTCTACATTCATGGGGTGCGGTGCACACGGAAGGGGCCCCCTTCAAGTTCGCCTGATTTACAGACGGCAGGCTGTCCCTAATCCCCGCCCCTTTCAGCGGCGATCACGGCAGCCTGACATTGATGGAGCTGGCAGGAGGTTAAAAGCTGCTCGCTGTGGGAAGACCAATATGAACCCTAACCTGACTTAGCCGAGGCTCAGAGGGAACAGAAGCTCAGAACCAAAGTCATCTGAGCGAAGTGAAATGTGCTTCTCTGGATAACCGATGCAGAGCAACTCTTCACTGACTACAACAACATCAACAAATCACTTTCAAATATGGACCCGTTTGGTACGAAGGCATTGTGACCTCATTTTTCCTGTGTGTGTGTGACAGAAAATGTAATCACATGGGGACAGTCAGTGCTTGTTTTTGCCACTCAGAGGCTCAGATTGTAATAAGAGTCTGACAGCAATATATCAACCCTACAGAGGAGCAGAACAGTTGTATAGTTTTTATGTCCGTGTCGAACCAAGTCTCCTTCAAGCAGAAGTCTCATTCTGCAATCTGACAGCCGGGACCTTGGAAAGCTACTCTTTCTGTACTCCAACAACTCCAACACTCCTTTCTCTCTGTCCCGTTTCCACCACCTGGCCAAGTCCCCTCCTACAAGATGTCAGAAAGAGAATCTCCCCTTCGGGTGATTCAACACACGAACCAGAGCAAGCTAAAGGTAAAATAAGGTTTCTATTTCTCTGCAGGCGAGTTTCTACAGTGTTTTCAGACACTTTTCAGACAAACTGAGCTTTCAGTGTTAAAAACCAGCACTTCTATTAAACCTACTGTACATTGACGGTGAGCTGCCCCCTTTAGTTTATTAAACTGTGGTCTGTGTGAAAATAGTGTCAATGTTGAAACAAAAGAACCATTAATGCTTTTCAAACTTTCCCAGATTCTGTCAAGAGTTTCTTGCCGAGTTGAAAGCATCATTTCAGCTGTCAATGGAGATATACGAGCTGAAAGATCCATCTTTCATTTCATCTTAACCGTATCCCCAAAGCTGTATCCTGGGTCAGTCTTGTGTCAGTCATAGTCCCTCACGTTCAACATTCGTTGGCGCGACTCCATTTCCTAAAAAAACTCATCTCATAGGATTGGTGTCATCTATGAGTTTCCTTTAACTAGTCGCACAGTTCTTTGTAACGTGGTCTAGTGACGGGTGGGGTCCAAGCGCAGCGAGTCCACTACAGTGGGCTGTCGCTGGCACCATCTGCTTATTCCTCACAACAGGCAGAAGCGTGTGGGCCTACTGTAGTTTAATGTGCTCGCCTGTAATAGGATTAAGGAGATCCTCGTCTTGTCAGGCAGGATTAAAAAATATTCTCTACGTTTTAAAGCCCTGAGGCGGTGGGAGGTGGTGGGGGGGGGCCACGGCAAACCCGCGCTCCCCTCAGTCCGGATAATTCCTCCACGCTGAATCCCATTTGATCACTCGACGACAATTAAGACAAAAGGTCGATTAACACTAAGCGCCGATTGACTGGCGTTGCTTCCGCTGTGCGTAATGAGCGCGGCTTCTTCGCTCCTCGCTGTGCTCTCGTTTCTGTCCAATCAATCGCTCATTTAGCCTGCGAGTCTGACACCGTCTGCAGCTCTCGCTGCCATGTTTGTTCCCTCTGTGTTCAAACGAGATTTACTTTTCCCCGCCTACAATATATATTAGAAATAGATACGATTCACACAATCCACGTTCTACTTGATATCAGTAGCGTGAGGAGAAAAAAGGAAAAGCAACAGAAACATGTTGCTAAATGAGATTAGGAAGTGGGAACGATATTAGATGATATGCTCGCCTAATTGCAATTTTGCTCGTTCTTTTTACTGCACTTCAGAAAGCAAGTTCAATTATCCCGGTATTAATAATTCAGGGACGAGGCGACTGGGGACTGGAGCCGGTCGGAGGGGCCGGGGGGGTCAGAGGGTGAAGCTCCCAGGTGTGGAGGAATGATATAGAGCAGCTGCACTGATGAACAGTGGGGTCCGTGACCCTCCCCGCCCCCCGTGTTCTGTAAGAACTAATAAGAAGGACCTTAGATGAACTCTCCTCCCCGGGGGGGGTTACACAGCGTCTAACCTGCAGCGACCTCGCACGGCCTTGAGTTACCACATACAGTACAGCAGAGGGGGGATCATGAACAAGTGAACAGATCATGCAGTTCACTGGGAATCACAAACAACGGAAGAGGTTTCCAACCATTAGAGGTTCCCGTCTTCTCGGCATTTTTTTCATGAACATAGAGCCATGAGGCTCCCCGGCGCCTAATTAGCCGCTTCCTCGTGTGTCTGAAAGCCCTGTTTGTCTGTAAAATATGAAGTTGTGCACAGAGAGCTGTAATCAAGCCATACAGCAATGAAAACCCTACTGAGTTAGACCCACAGTGATGTCCAGTTTTAAGATGCAATTTTCCACGATAAGGGTGGTGCATTTGTGACATTTATTAATCAGAATGGTTATTTTTGGAAATGTTTTTCTCTACTTACAAAACCACCGGCAGCAGGTACGCTGTAGCATCGCAACTCATGTGGCCATTGAGGTTCTTCAAATATTGTAAAGAGTTGAATGACGTAATCCCAATTGACGCTGGCATGAGGCTAACTGGAAGGCTCACAAGGAGCTAATAATAAAAAATGTCATTATAAACAATAATAAGCCCTCTTTCTTTAGTTTTCTTTGGGTCTCTGTCCCCGTGTTTTATCTCTGTGTGTCTGTGTGAATATATGCAAGTGACGGCCTCAGCTAATTGATTAAGATGTGTGATGCGATGTCAACGAGATAATTCAGTCACTCAATTCCCACATGTAATGTCTCCATAATTGACACAAAGGAGGGGGAGGTAAACAAATAGAGATCTCTCCCTCCCTTCCTGCCCCCTAAAAGGACATTAGCATTATGGTGTTATTTTCAGTTGTAGTCTTTGGTATGCTGATTGAAAATACTTATGGAATGTCTGAGCTACTGCATGTAGACCACAAATGCATATGAGGTGCGGTCAGACGCGGCTCTTTGAACCTGTTAATAACTTTAGAGGAAAGGGGTTTGCGTGCGTGCACTGCACCTGTGCACGTCGCAGCTTACAGCCCTTTTCTCATTTTGCCTGCGATCCGCTCCCTTTGAAGTCCCGCGAGGGCGAACCCTCGCCCAGGACAATAATCACATTAGTGTGTGATCCTCGCCGAGTAGCCGGCAGAGAGATGAATTCACCAGCCGGACTGCAGAGACTGGAATAATATTTTGTGTGAGCTAACACAGCGTGCTGCACTCCGCATGCACTCTGACTGATGTTGGCAATTTCCCCAGACGAAACTGGGCCACGGCAAAACATGATCGATGGCCTGTGTGTGTGTGTGTGTGTGTGTGTATATATATATATATATATATATATATAGTTTATTTTCTGCCAAGCAACCAATAAAACCACATTTTTACAGAAATACCTTCCTCCATTTGTTTTTTTTGAATCCCTTCAGGTGTCTCACATACAGTTGAAATCAGAATTTCAGTGGGGTTTCTCTGCTCATTTGCATTTCCTTCTCCGTGCTGGAGCCAAACATCTGGACAGCGTTACTCTGGATGAGCTGTTTGACACGGCTGTCGGGTGTGTGGCCCGGTTCCTGAGCCTCGCCGTCGCGTCGGCCGGGTCGGTCGGGTCGGGCTGAGCTTGTTTGGACAGATATTTGAGTGAACTCAAGACTTTCAAATCTCACTATTGTCAATGGACGCTCTGCAGATGCAACAACAATAAACTAATTGTGACACAGTCACGTATTAGCTATAGCTTCTATATCCTAATGCAGTCTGAGCCGACAGTCCTGCATTGAATCTGTTCTGTTTGTGTGATGTTGGAGGATGCAGCTTGTGGTGCATTGTTTTGTGACAGGTGACAGGTTTTTACCTGCATGTGTTTAGCACATATATGTTAATATATAACAGCAGTTCCACGACAGCACATGTTGCATTCTCCAATTAGACCACGCAGTTGAATTACCAACTGTAAATGGAGGCGTTTGAAGGTCTATAGCGATGCAGCTGGGGGCTGTTTGGGCTTCCTGCCAAAGCAAATTTACATCAATGTACTTGCACGTTCACTTCCTGTATCTGTATTTGTGTAGCGAGTGATTCAGATGTTACACTGAAATACTGCTTGTAAATTGGATGTTCAGTCTGCTGTACGTAACAAATCCAGTGAAGTCCGAGGCCTCTTTAAGTTGCAAACAATGTGATTAAATTCATCTGATGAAACAAACAAAAGGCTTTTTCAAAGTGGTGGGATTACGCTTTTTTTTTGTCCATCTAATCTCACTTGTTTACTTGTTGAATGAACAGGATGATCCGAATAATCATTCCAACTCAACTAATTATATATTATTTTAAAGGGCTTGGCATATTCACAATAAATAGCATAATTCCAGAGTTTACGGCTGCTAAAAACACGTCTCTCCTATGAAGCACTTCAACGTCTGGGGTTAAACATTTTCACAGCTATAAACTTTCTTTTCCCGATATTTTGAAGACTTTGTCAAAGAGCTCATTTGGTTCCGGCTTGATTGTTCAAAAGCAACCCGGGTGAGTGTGGGCTGTAACTGAATTATTGATAAATTCAACGGCTACGAAGCTCATTTTTCACATTCAAGTAAATTGAATTTACGAAAAAACAAGAAAACAATGTTTTCATTGTGAATTGTCAGCTTTTGTACACTAATCTGCTCGTTTAATCTACGACGTGTCTCCTTCACACAGAACGAGCAAAATACACTGGAGCCGAATGTGCTGCAGCAGCTTTTACAGACGTCCCTACATTCCCACAAGATACTTACAAGATTCCCCCTCATTCTCCGCCGTCGTCCCCGGGAGAGCAGCGACCGTTCTTCCTCCAGGTAAAACCATCCACAAGAAAAGGGCGGAAAAACCCGAGTTGGGACTAAATCCCGTTTGAGGAAACGGAGAGCTGCCGGCCCGTTCTGCGTTGCGTCCCGCCAGCCGGGGACGGAAAAGGGGAACTAAGGCGCTACATGTGTTGCCAAAGCTCCTAGCGTGGCTTAGAGGCTCATTAAGCCACTGACAATCACTCCCACAAAGCCCCATCCGAAGGCTATTCACAGTGGGCGTACAAAGGAGAGTGGAGGAATGCAAGTTCCATTTCGCTCCCCACTTCCCTCCACCGTCATGCAGGAAGGAGCTTCGCGCCACCTGAAGACTTGTTTTGGTTTCCAGCGATGGGCTGGAATGAATATGCAGAGTGTACAGTGTGTATGTGTGTGGGGGGGGGGGTCGCCTGCTGTGGGGAAATCTGTTTGTCGATGGCTGACGGAAGAGGATTGCCCTGCAATCTCTTTAATTGCTAATGCCGGCGAGAGATTGTCGCTCAGCATTTGAACCACTTTAGTTGGAGCGACGCTCCTCCCCACCGCCAAAAGGGGATTTTTTGGGGGGGATCTAATAAACAACGAGTTGCTCGTATGTGGCTTTATTTGAAGGGGACTCCTGATTGTTCCACGCCTGTGAACAGAGACTAGACTCCCACACCATACAGGGGGTTTTAAGTGGAGGCCGGTCGACGCGTCAGCAGAGCTCAGTGCACAGGGAGCGCCGACACCGCCGATAAGAACCTCATTCAGTCTCTCTCCCACGACCCGTTGGGGGGAGGAAGCGCCCCTAGTCTGGATGATGTATGGTGTGGACCCCAGGCCGGGACTTGGGGTTTCAACGGGGAGAGAAGCAGAAAATGAAAGGGGGGTGGGGGGGTGGGGGTCATGCTTGAATTATGCTGATGCTGGTTGTAACCGCTGGAGGAGAACCAACTGCGTCCGCAAAACTCACAGCCGCAAATAACAAGGTTATTATCACTCGGGCTTCACAAATGCTGACAGTTGGGGAAACGGTGGAGGTGAGATTGTGAACCTTTTTTTTTACAGGAATGGACTGAATGACATGTCATTTAGCAGCTTGTTATGGGCAATTTAAATGTGAAATGTCTTTTAACAATCTACTGTTGAATCGCAGGTTGCATTTAAATTGTCTCCATTCATTTTTTCACAAAATGTTCCTATTTGAGTAAATTTATGTACTTTTCGTGTCACCTAACTTTCAATTTGGCAAATCGGGCTTGAAAGCCAGATGAAGAACCCGATGATGGCGACGTCAACGGCTGAGATTCGGAGATGTTGATGGTGGTGTTGGTTGGGGGGGGGGGGGGACGGGTCTTTTCACAGACCAGTCTGCCAAAGTCGGTAACTGAGAACACTCACACGTCCTTTGAGCTGCAACAGGATGGAGTTGCCATTATGGCCACACAAAACAAAGAGGGAAGCCTTATGAACTTTGCACAAACGCTTAGGGCTCCGGGGCCGGACAGCTCTGGACGCCAGGGGGAAGAGGGGGGAGGAAGGGGGGTGGGTAGGTACCGGGGCGGGCTGCCAGTTCCGAAAAGCTTAGTGTTCATGCACTCGGGCCAGACAGACCTGACATTGTCCTGGGCACCGCCCCCCAGGGGGGAAAGTCTCTTCCTCTTTCTCTGCGATCCGCTGGCTCAGTCGCACTTCCAGCCCAGTTGATTCACGGGTTTTTGGACGCGACTTACAGAGACAAGAAGGCAAACATTCATCCCCCACTTCCATGTTGAAGAAAGAGAAAGTTGACGCTGCTCGCACGACTCAATAAACTCGTAAATTCTGGTTCTACTTGATTTGGGGAGAAATTCAATGTGAAAATGAGATAAGCCCCCTCGCTGCGTTTTTACACGGACATTTATTCATCCAACACCTTTCATTTCTGATACATTTCTTATCTCCCTCAAGCAGCAATCACTAAAGGTTATCGGACCCGGACAAGATGCAACCGTATTGTGTCACTGGATTTAAAATAATGCTCTCTTGACCTGCTGCCCTCGCCCCACCCGACCCCCTCGGGTGAGACCGGGCCGAGAGAGAGGAAAGCACGGAGCGTTCGACAGCCCTGCCCCCCCCCCCGCCCCTTCCCTTCCCTTCCACCCCCAAGCACACACAACTGGTGCTTTGAGAGCAGAAAGAACAGACGTCGGTGGGAGCGGTTCATGGGACACAGAAAGAGGGAGCTCACGTCACTCGTAGCGTTTTGCTTGTCAGAGGGAAATGTTTTAAATGATTGACTCTGGAGCCGTACCCTCCCCCCGGAGTACAACAATCGCTGAGGTAGACCGGCTTTACACTTTCCGCCACCATTTGGCGAGTGTGCTTACCACGCACAGTGTGACGCTTTTAATTGAACTTCGGGCACACGGCCGGTTTTCTGCTGCTCAGTCTGTCAAAAAACGGTCAATAAGCCTCCAGCCTGGCAGTCAGACACAGGCCAGCCCGCCTTTGGAGTGGGTACTTTGAAGTCCAAATGAATATGAATATGAGAAACCAGAGCAGTGTATGCTTTTTGATAAGTTGCCACGGTAACAGGTGCCCCTATCTTTCTCACCGACTATTGAAAAGTTGTCCTGAGCTGATGAGTCGTTGTGCCTGCACCTACGTTCCATAAGCGACCAGTTTGAACTCTGCACGAACCAGAGCCGGTCCGTCGGGTCCTGAACTGGTATCGTTTAGGACCTGTGACTGCAAAATGGAAAACAGGCACGAATTCCAGAGACCAAATTGCCCACATGCATGCACTAATTCCTCATCATCCGTGGCACTTTAACGGTCTTCTGAATTATTTCCAGATCCGCAATGACAGCAGATTTATTCAGCGGGGGCGCACGTCAGAGAAGCTGATCAGCCAACAGGCGTGAGAGGGTTATCTGAAATGTTCACTCCTGTAATGGTCCGGGTGTGTGACTGCAGCCCTGTTGAGGACCGGGGGAAGTCTCTTCACCAGACTGCTTTCCGGCTCTCAGCCAGACTGCCGGCCTTCGGTTTACCACAGATGGTGCTCTGAGTAATCATGGCAGCGATCAGGGGATCACTACTCCTGATTAGCACACCTACTGAACACAATGTGCACAACAACGTCTGTTCCATCTCCGGCTGCACGGCGGCTGAGCGACGCCTCCACCGAAAAGACGAGTGAGTGCCGCTTCTACGAGCAGCGCGCCTCTCACAGGGCAGACAGCAGGTCTTTGTGCCCATCGGAGTGCAAGATGTGAAAATGATTATTCTATCCGCAACAATGCTTCCAAGACTATATGTTTAATACAAATGGTGTAGCCCAATTTAATAAAAAAAAAATCAATTGAAGCACATCAAAGAGGAAATACTAGTGGACCAGAATCCGCACGAAAGCAGATTTGCTCTTGTGCCTTTCTATTCTCTTATGTGGATCAGTTCAGATGAAGTGTCCACTTAGACCTCAATTTAATCATGCCCCCCCGCCCAAAAGAATCAATAAGCTATTTCACCCAAGTGACTCTTGGCAATGGAGAAGTCCTCCTCTCTGTGGCTGTTGGGAGTGTGTACACAGCCGACAGAGAGCACGGCGGCAAACACAAGCTGGAAAATTAACTCGTTAAGATGAACGCAGAAGAAGGAAAGAAAAAGTGTAGGCATGGTAACCGTGCTCGGGTCTGCTCGTAGACGCGCCCTCGACACGCAAGCGCACAGCGCGCACACAATTCATCTGATGAATTCGGCTCCACTGCAATGCAATCCAAAGCTGAACCAGAGGATGAGCTGCATCAGCGGCGGCCCACCTGTCAGGGGCGACGGCTCATCAGGAGACACTCCAGGGCCCTGAGCAACGTGTTCCCTTCAATATTATTATGCCAACAAGTAGGATTAATTATTACCGGAAAACCAGCTTTCTCACGGCAATAGTCCTACGACAAGGGGCCAAATGATTTAGTCGCACGCCCACTACTGATAAGCAGTAAGGGTCTAATGGCCTTTTATGGAGCGTCCCGCTGGCCTCTCTTCACACACACACACACACACACACACACACACCTCGGGGTCAACCCCTTTAGGTGCACTGAGGCAGAGCAGCCCGTTGCGCTACAAAGTTAATCCTGCGGTGGAAAATGTCGGTGGGATCCGTCGTGCATGGACGCACAGCGAGAGATGAGGAGGCGGACCAATATGAGACAAATTAAAGATGTGTGTGTGTGTGTGTGTGTTCAGGGCGAGGCTTCCTCTGTGTGTGTGTGTGGCTTTGCACAGACATGCTCATCAATAGGTTGGCTGCACAACTTCTCATCCTCACGGCCATTCACCGAGCACACAGAAATAACACTGGCAGATACATGAGTGTGTGTGTGTGTGTGTGGGCTGGTGTCATCGTCTACTACAATGTTACTTTGCCTTAGCAACAATGGGCAATCCTTGATTCTCCAGTTTGTCTTAAAAAGGTGTCCAGTCAGGAGAACAAGCCGTGCAGTACTACCCAGTCCTTTAATTGTGGGAAACGTGGAGGCCGATTTCTCTCAGAGCCTCTCTTGATATCAATTAGCACGTCGGGTGTGGGAGCCTACAGGCACAATTCTTACAAGTGCATCAAGACGTGCACTGCCATGCAAATATCCCCCTTGGCACTGCATGATGGATTGTACTCATCTGTGTTTTGTATTTTTTATGCTGCATATGTTGCAGAAATAAATCCCACGGTATAGACAGGGGCTACATGGGGTAGTAGTGGCTTATCAAAGAAATAAATTACATTTATGGACAAGAATGAGGCAGCACAAGGCGGCCAAACGGATACAGTTCTCTCTGGCTGTACTATTGGCTGAACAAAGAAAGCGCTCGTTTCCATTATTTCACTGTTTCTGCGCTGAGCTGAGTAACAAATCATGAAGTAGGAAGGGCAACCACATAGATAATGTGGTTATCTCGAGATATCAAACCATCGTGACAGATGTGGAGTCAGATCAAGGGCCTAAAGCTCTGCGTGTTTCCGAGAGAGCCGTCCCCACATGAAAGGGCGCTCCAACAAGTGAAACAAATGGCTGCTTTACGCTGAAAGAAGAGGCACACCCAGAAAACTATCTCTTCACAACATGAAAGGACACATGGGGCATTGGCGAAGAG